TGCCAAAACTTATGGAGAAATTTTGCAGCAAATTTGCTGGGAAATTTGATAAATTTTGCAGGAATTGTGGGCAGTTGATTGGTGCTATTGAGGTACATTTTACTGCCAAACTTACATTTTTTAACTTTATTGATGAAAACTAAACATGTAGAAATAACACATATTAGATTGTTGCAAAACATTTTTATTAATTTCTTCTTTAATAAAAACTGGGTGACCGATTTGGGACAGGGAGGGGAACACCAGCACAGGCCCAAAGGGCGTGGCGATCCGTCAAAAAACAGTCAGAGAGCGAGACACACACACAACAACAACAACAACATTCCATTTATAGAGCGCCTTTCACGTCGGGAGGATGTCCCAAGGCGCTGTACAGTTGGGTCAGGACCCGAGCATTGGGGGGAAATGGTCAGGGGGAGGGAAGGGAGGGAGCGAGGAGGGGGTAGAGAGTCGAGAGGGGAGCTGAAGGCACGGTCAAAGAGAAAGGTCTTGAGACCGCCTTGAAGGAGGAAAGGGAGGAGGCAAGGCGAAGGCACTGGGGGATAGAGTTCCAGAGCCTAGGGGCTGAGAGGCTGAAGGCAGAGAGACACTCTTAAATACGCACACATATAGAAGAGACACACAAAGGCACACTCACAGACGCATACATACAGAGGAAAGAGAGACACAGATACACTCACACAGTGTACTCACACAGAAGTGAGTAGGGAGGGGGGACATGAGTTAGAACAGTGATCACTGAAGGATGGGAGCTAACTGGGTGTCAGTTGTACGAAAGATGACAGAAAACGTGGCTTTGAGACGTGGTGAGGGAGCCGGAGGGACTCCAGGATGGAGTTGCACACTTGGAGGGACTGGGATAGAGCTTCACAGAACACATTGCAAAGTGAATTGACAATATTTTGTGGGCGAAATGCGGCAACCAATTTGTGCAGTGTCCCACAAGCAGTTGTGGATTGAGTAACCAAACTATTTTTTTCAATAGCATATATTTTCTTTTTTGAAGGGATTATTACCACTGGAAAAGCGATCCGCCAATCAACTAACAGCCCGTTGCCTACTTACTGCTACATAAACACAGGCGTGTGGAAACTTGCCCAACGTTTCGCCCTGCCCACTAATCAAATCCAAGGTCCTCTCACTTGTGAGGCGAGTGCTCTAACCACTACATGACATGACTGACTTTGGACAGCTACTCTGAACCAGGCCTGACATAGTAGCAACGCTAAACCAGTGCTGGCAGAAACTGAACCAGCACTGACTTGGGCAGCTACACTGAACCAGCCCAGACAGACATTGACTCAGCAGCTAAACTGAACCAGGCGTGAGACATTAATTGTGCAGCCAAACTGAGCAAGCCTTGGCACACATTGACACAGTATCAACATTAAACCAGCTCTAACAGAAACTGACTCTTAACTACACTGAACTAGCCCTGGCAGATCCTGACTTACTTCAGCTGAACTGAACCAGTGGTTTCTGACTCTTAACTCTCTGCAACTGTACTAAACGAGCCCTGACAGACGTTGTTTGTGTAGCTACCCAGAACGTGTCCTGGCAGACACTGACTCTTGGCAGTTACATTAAACCAGGTACTGGAGATGCTAACTCAGCAACTGCACTGAAACAACCCTGAGAGATGTGGACTATCTTTTATCCTGTACTTTCTCTTAAATCTTAACATGAACTCTCTGCAGGGTTATAGCTCTTTGTGCTCTGCCCCAACCACCCCACCATTAGTAGCTGACCTTTCAGCTAACCAGGCCAGAGATTTCTGAGTGAAGGGAGTGGTTTTCTCAGTAGGATCGCAGTAAAGATAACTGAAAGAGTAGTAAAGGAGGGTTTTGAACATTGGGATGGAGCAAATCGGAGGGACTCTGGGATGAAGTTCCCAAGAGTGGGAGCAGATGGTTGAAAGCTTAGTGGGGCAGATACTGGTGTTCGCTGAGCTAAGGGAGCAGTCTGGTAGGCAGGGTTGAAAATGCTGAGCAGCCCCCAGTACTGCATTGGAGCGTCACCCTAAACTGTAATTCAAAAAGTGGCCGAAAGCATGGTTGAAAAGATAGATTTTAAGATGGGTGGAGGGACCCCAGGATGGAGTACCAGAGAGCGGGGGCAGAATGGCTGAAAGTTCGCTCACTGATGCTGAGGCAGATCAGCTGGAGGACGTGAAGCAGTTTCCTGAGTGGAGGGAGCAGCCGGGGCGGCAGGGTCAAAGGAGGTCACAGAGGTAGCGTGAGACGAGGCAGTGAAGGAATCTGAAAGTGAGAGCAAGGATCTTGAATTCAATCTGCTGGGATATGGGGAGGGAGCCAGTGAAGAAATGAAGGAGAATAATGAGGGTGCTTTTGAGTCCAATGCTGTGCAAGTTGCGTTGAGCGCAGCGGTGAATGAAATATTTTCTCTTGCTTTCTTATAGGGAGCCAGCAGCCTCGAGACCGCAGCCAGAGTTGGATGCATTGATGTATCTTGCAACTGTTTGTGGAAACTTGTTCAATAATTGCATGTTATTACATGTCCACCTTAGCCGCAGCTCGTGTGAAAATAAACAGTCTCTACTTGTAGATATAATAATAATAATAATCCTTGCATTTGACATAGCGCTTTTCACGTCGGGAGGACGTCCCAAAGTGCTTCACAGAGCACACTGTAAAGTGAATTGACTGTATATTTGTGGGCGAACGCGGCAGCCAATTGCGCACAGCAATGTCCCACAAGCAGTCGTAGATTGAAAATGACCAATTTATTATTGTTTTTGGTTTTGGGGGATTATTATTAGGCTCTGTGTGGAGTAAGGAAACTTGCCCAAGGTTTCGTCCTGCCTGGAATTGAACTCAGGTGCTCTAACCACTGAGCTACAGGACTCCAGGATATCCAGGCATTTAACAATTTAATCTAACTGAATCTTGAAATGGTGACTAAAGCTCTCACAGAATGGTAGTAAAAGAATCTCATATTAACAACATAACAAAGCCAAAGGATGTAATATATAATTTCTCTGTTTATGTTAGGAACAAAAAAATTGGGGGAGGGGGAAGCACTGTATCATTGGAGGTATTGTTCACCGGATGGTCGTAGTGTCTTTTCTGCACCCTAGATTAATAATATATTAATCCTTGCACTTGAAGGAACTAAATAGAGAGGAAAGAAGGACAAAAAATATGGAGACTAAAACCTAGCAAGTCAATCAGAAAGAGAATATTAGGCTTAGCCCACACTATAGGCTGACACCCCAATACATTGCTGGGGCTCTGCATTGTCAGAAGTGCTGTCCTTTGGATGAGATGTTAAACCAAGGTTCTAAACCAAGGTGGACAGTAAGGATCCCATAACACTATTTGAAAAGAAAAGGGAGTTTCTCCCAGTGTCCTGGCCAAATATCCTCCAACAGGAGTAGGTTGGGGCCCCGGGAAGCAGAGACATAGATTTGGAGAGCAGAGGAGTTGCTGGGGAGGGTTTGCTTGACGCACAGTGACGAGTGGCCAACAATCCCTCAGATAAAATCGGTCACTCACTCCACAGCTGTTTGCGCGATTTCACCATCCGCAAATTGGCTGCCGTGTTTGCCCGCAAAGTTAAGTCGCTACACTTCACAGTGTAGTCTGTGAAGCGCTTTTGAGACATTTTGACGATGTGCTAAGGCTCCACATCAAATGTAGGAATTATTATTATTACAGCATCGATTGCAAGTATTATTATTATTATTTTAATTCCCGCGATGCCCTTCCAGGCACCTCGAGGACACGATAAACTCAAGGATTATCATTATACTGTCTGCCTTGTACAGTGAGTGTTGAAGATCCCGTTAGCGCTAATCGAAAAGAGAAGGGTTTTCTTCTCCTCCCCCCCCCCCCCCCCCCACGGTGTCCTGGCCAACAAATACCCCCGAATACAAGTGGTCCCTCACGAGTTTGAAAATCCTCGTCCTCACTTTCAAGGCCCCCCTCCCACCGCCCTGACCTGCCGACCCCCGACCCCCCCCACCCAACAACAACCCGTGCGCTCCCTGCGCTCAGCAGACCCCCGCCCGCTCCGCTCCGGGTCTCCCGCGCGACCACGGCGGCGGCCGGGATTTGGGCCTCTCCGCCCCCAGACTTCGGAACTCCATCCCGCAGTCCCTCCGCCCTCGCCCTCGCGCCCTCGCCGGCCTCCTTCGAGGTGCGACTCAAGACAACCTCCTTTACTGACCGTGTCTTCGGCCGCCCTCCAAACCCCCTCAGAACCTCCCTCATCCCAACCCTGCGCCACCCCCCCCCCCACCACCCCCCCCTCACACACACACACACGCGCGCGCGCTCGGGTCCTGATCCCTGACTGTCCAGCGCCTCGGGATGTCCTCCCGACGTGAAAGGCGCTTTTTTTACACGAATGTAATTCCGTCGTCGTTGTTGTCGTCGTTGAACGTCAGTGTCGTGAAGGTGGTGGAGGAGGAGGGCTCACTTCAAAAGCACAATGGCGCGGCTCGGAGGACTCGCCCCCGGAGGACCAATGGCGCGGCTCGGAGGACTCACCTCGGAGGACCAATGACGCGGCTCGGAGGACTCGCCTCGGAGGACCAATGACGCGGCTCGGAGGACTCGCCCCCGGAGGACCAATGGGGGAGCCGGCTCCACGAGCCAATGGCGGAGGAGCCTCCTGGAGGACGAGCGCAGCCAATGGAGGTGGAGCGTCAACAGAGCGCCTCGTTGTGGCTCGGGGGCAGAGAGTGAGAGCGGCCGGCGGGGCCGCTCGCTGCGCAAGGCAAAGGGCCGCCCGTTACACAGAGTGGCCGGGGCTCTCTGTGAGTGAGGAGTGACACAGACTCCCCCACCCCACCCCCCCCACCCCCGACCCCCCCCCCCATCACCGAGGGAAGGCAGCCCCGCCGACCCCCCGCTCCGGCGGACACACACAACGTGGAGGAGGAGAGGGAGCAGCCTCCGGCGGAGCGGAGCCAGGAGAGGATGTGAAGCCACACGCAGGCCCCGGGCAAGGGAGGGAGGCGCAAAGGGAGACCGGGGATGGGGCAGCAGCAGGGCCGCGTCGGAGGGGCTGCAGGAGGGGGCGGCGGAGGAGGAGGAGATGCGGCTCAGCCGGGCAGGGGCAGGCTGGGCTCGGCCAGGCCTGGCCACGGACACGGGGGAAGGAGGAGAGAAGCGGCGGCCTCGGCGGCGGCGGCGGCTGCGGCGGCGGCCCGGGGGATTGAAGGAGCCTGTAACATCTTCACCCATCACGGTGAGTGAGAGTCAGCCTCCCGCCACACACACCCACACACACACACACATACATACACACACCCACACACACACACCCACACATACACACACACACCCCCACACATACACACACACCCACACACACACCCACACATACACACACCCACACATACACACACACCCACACACACACACACACCCACACACACACACACCCACACCCACCCACACACACACCTATACACACATACACCCACACCCACCCACACAAACACACACACACACACCCACACACACACCCACCCACACATACACATACACACACACACACCCACCCACACACACCCACATACACATACACACACACCCACACACACACACCCACACACACACACACCCACACATAAACATACACACACCCACACACCCACACACACATACACACACACCCACACATACACACACCCACACACACACATACACACACACCCACACACACACACACACCCACACGCACACACCCCCACACACACACATATACACACCCACACACACACCCACCGCTCAGAATAAGACCCAGTTGTCGGCAATGTCATGTCCCTGGAGGTGGCCGGGCTGCAGGGGCAACAAGCCCCCCCCTTCAGGGACATGACATGCCGACTGCTCTTTTCCTGGGTCTTTAATGATGAGCAATCTCTGTCTCTTCCCCCCTCTTTGTGTTTATGGTTTGCTTCTTCTTTATCTTCATCTGTACAAGTGCATGTGTGGGGGGGAAATGATATGGTGTCAATACAGAGTACATAGGAAACAATGACAATCCACCCTGCAACCAGCCTGGACGCGGCTGGGATTCAGCTCCACGGTAAATGTATGCGCTGAACGCAGTACTTCCGCTGTTTGATGCAGCGCCTTATCGCGCCATTGAGACGCCTCAAATTGCTCGGGACTAATGCCGCTGAGAAGTGCAGCATCTGTGTTTGTAGCAGTAATGCATACACTATGTTACAGGGGATAATAAATGCATCTATCTGTCAGTTGTTAGCCCAGCGCCTTGGGACTTCCTCCCGACGTGAAAGGTACTATACAGTGTAGTTTGTTGTTGTTGTTGTCCTGTCCTTAAGCACCACTGGCAGCTGCTACTTTCAGTGATTTTTTTTTAAAAAAAGGGTTTTATTGAGTTCCGATTGATGGTCATAAAAAATGTTGTGTGTCACAAAGGACTGCCCGTGTATGGCCGTGAGTGGGTATGTTGCACTTCCCCCAACGATGGGTTACTTTGGAACGGTGGGGTGGTATCATAAGTTGTTTATCCAGGTCTTCGTCCCTCCAGACTGATTTTTCCAATGCTCTCCTCGCTGGTCTCCAGTGCAGTCCTTCCTTCTGTCCACAAGTTCCAGCTCATCCAAAATTTTGACTGCTTGTATCCTCTCGCACCAAATTTTGCTTGCCCATTGTCTACACCCGTACTTTGTTCCTTGTTTTCCTCCCTGTTAATTGATTTTATGATCTTCACAATAGTCTACAAATCCCAACATGTCCTCACCCCTTCCTTATCTCTGTCACCTTCTTTGGTCCGCCTCCTTTGCTTAGAAAACTGGGGCCTGCGATGCATCTTTGCCTCCTCCTTTCTCTCCCACCCCACTCCTTTCTCTTTATAAGCTTCCTGAAAGATAACCTTTGACAGTGCCTATAGTTATCCCATCTCATTTCCCCACCCACCCTGCTCAGTGTCTGATACCGTCTATTCACTTTACAGTATATTCTGTGAAGCGTTTTGAGACATCTCGAAGACATAAGACATGATAAGGCGCTATATGAAATGCAAGGATTATTATGTGAAATGTTTCAAGGTGTTGCCCAATATACTATATAGAAATTGATACTGCTAGGTGATGCAGTTCGTCAGCTGTGGGATGTTGGGCACTGTGATAGTGACAGTGTTCGGATGCTGTGACATGGAATGGGAGCCATGAGTTTACCTTAATGGATCTCCACATTGAGTTCTCGATCTGCAGCGAAGGTGTTCAGGGAATTGGTGTCCCGGTCAACCGGTACCATTTGCAACTTCTTGATCTGAATTCAGTACACAAGAGGGGTAAAGAAGAAAAGAGGTGTATAATAAAGCAAAACAAAAGTCTGTATAGCAATAGTGCTATTAGGTCTTATGTAGAGTATTTTAATGGATATTGTTAAGTGGTTTACAGGGCCACTTTGCTGGAATGTAGCAGGATGCATGCTTACTTAAAAATGAGCAACATAATGCAGAGGTCCAGTTAACTTGGATTAAATGCATTAAATAAGTGGCTGTGCACCATTTAAGCTTCAGTTTTGCATTGGATACAGAAAGCATAAAGACAAGAAAACTGACTTCCAAAGCAGCAGACTTGTACAGACATATTTCTTAAAACTACCATAAGTTATTTTAGGACCGTTTGTGGGACACTGCTGTGCACAATTGGCTGCCGCTTTTCATCCACGAAGTACACACTCGATCCAATTTACAGTATATTCTGTGAAGTGCTTTGAGATGTTTCAACGAAGGTGCTAAATGAAATACAAGGACTATTATTATAAGTACTGATATCATATGAAATTTCTTGGAGTTTTTTTATAGGGTGAAGTTCCACACACGATTTTCTCCCTTGCCTCTTGGTTTTCTTGTGGTCAAAGAGTCAGATAATTTGCTCCCTAACCTTCCGTCAGGTCACTGTGAAAACTTGAAATTGTACGAGTGGACCAGGGATGCCTTCCTTCACCTGTAATGAAAGACCTGCTTAGCTTCTGCTCAGCACCTCACAGTATGAGTTTTCAAACATTTCCAGTGTTTTTTCTTGAGTTGTGAAACAAGTGGTAATGTTTCAAGGAAATTTATCCCGATGTCCCATCCAAAGAACCTCCTGATAAAATTGCCAATTCACTTCACAGCTGTTTGTGGGACATTGCTGTGTGTAAACTGGCTGTTGTGTTCAGCTACAAAAAGTCATTATATTTTTGATAACTTGTGAAGTGCTTTGAAACATCTCAGTGATGTAATAAGATGCTGTATCAAACGTAAGGATTATATTCTAATTATTTCATAATTAAATCTGTCGCAAACAGTGCATTTGCAGTAAATTTGTTGACATGTCCTGCATCATGGCATTTATTGCACTAAATTGCCAACTGTAGAGTGATGGGTGGCTGAGTCCAAGCAGTGGAATAGCAGTCTATTTAATAAAGCCACATTGAGATATAACAACAACAACAAGATTTCATTACAGAGTGCCTTTCACGTCGGGAGGACGTCCCAAGGAAAGGAATGCAGCTTTTGGAGGTGCCTGTTAGAGGTAAACTGCATAGTGTACTTTGGGTTATTAGCAGTGTTAGCTCTATGAGTGGTGCAGACATCTCAAATTGGTAAACTTGTAAGAGGCTTATTATATTTAAGTGTGAAGGAATTGAGTGTTAACTGAACCTATTCTTATCACATCAGTTTCAATGACAAGGTGCAGCTCATACATTGTGTCCAACAGAGACAGCTGAACAAGATTGATTGCGTTTGGTGGCATCGCATTTGTAGGTTATGAATTAATGTCTGAATGTTCTCTTGTCTCTTCATGTTCCTCCCCTCCCCAAACTCGGGTCAAATGCTCTGTACATACATAATATATCATATGCTATGGGAGAGCCAATTTTCTTTGCTTAATCCTCCAACGAAATGGCTTTGAGACTGGGGTAGTGTAGATGCATATAGCAATTGGCTGTGGTGGGTAAAGGGTGATCAGGAGGGAGCGAGGATTTAGAGTGGATTAGTCGGATTTAGTTTGTGACTCATTGCCAATTTTATTAGCTTGTGTTTGAATTGCCAGGACTATACCCACTGTGTGGTGGTGGTGCCAATTTGTACATTTGGGTTACACAGAGTTGGTTTATGGTTTTATGGCTCAGAATCTGACTTGGAGTTTGCTGTTTGAAGGTTCATTTCTCATTTCATTTTTTCAAGAATTGTTTTGAACCACCGCTACTTCCACTGGCCAACACCATAATCTCTTGATCAGTACCAAATGTAATTGTATTAATCTAGCAAAGGTGGGCTGACATCATTAAAGTGAAGCATTTATCCATGGCTGTTGGTTAGATTTTACTGAACTTGGTTGGTGTGGAGCGAACGTTCAATTGCAGTGTCTAACGTCTGTAAATGCGGAGGCACATGTGCACTGTTGCTGGTCAAAGCTTGCATCTGTCGGTTGATTTCACAGTGGCTTAAAGCTATGGTATCTTACAGTTGTCCCCATAGTTAAACGTTCCTGTGAAACTGTAGAAGCTAAAGATATACACCTCAGTGTACTGTCTTTTTTGAAAGGCAGTTTAAGGGAATACAGATGGAGGTCAAATACTAAGCAATTTGTATATTCATACCACTATCCCCTGCCTCAGATTCTTGGCCCTGTTGTGGTAAAGCTTCTGAGCATTTGCTGAAATTGATCTTCCCTGCAGAACCTTGCATCAATGGTGTGAATGTTTAGCTACCACCTACATCCAAGCAAATTTTTAGCTATGAACAGTTTGTAAAGAATAGCGGTTTCAGAACACGTAAGCTTTTATTCCTATGAAATATAGCATACTTCCCAAATCCATTCAACTCCTGTGTCTGAACTACTGGGATGAGTACAGAGTGGAGCAGTTATGAATCATTTCATGTGGCCTCCTGTCCTTTAGAAATAAACCCATCCTGTGGTTCATATCTACCAATGACATGGTTCGAGACCAGAAGTGCATGTCTGGCAATGTTTCCCGGCTGCTGTTCAGCTAAGACGATTCAACCCATCAGGGCTTTGGCTTTCAGGATTAACAGGAACTGAGTGGGAAGAATCCCTGCCCCCTGGAGTGAGGCACCATCTTGCCACTTGCTGGTAAAGTATTGCTGGTTGAGCTGCCATCAAAATTGTTTAGCCTCCAAAGCAGGCGTCTACATAGCTTTTAATGTGTCCACTGCACATAATGATGCACTTAGCTGCTGTTTGTCTCCGGAGGAAGCCA